CCGGATGTTTCGTAGGCCAGTTCAAGTTCAGATGTCGCACAAGTTTCTTTTGGATGCAAAGTTGCGGATCCAGCAGTCGGATTCCAATCGCGTCTGCGATCGACAGTAGTCTGGATCGTACTAGTCATGATCGGTTCAGAGGTACCCGGTATATGATGCTCGGTATATGATGCCCGGTATATGATGCTCCTTGTCTATGACATGACTGGTTTGGGCCACATGTGATGCAATCGCTTTTGGGCCTGGTTTCTTCCCACTACCACTCAGAGATACGGGATTCTGTCCGAAAAATGCCTTGTCGTACGGCCAACGTATGATGATCGGCACGAGCATACAAATCTTGAGATAAACTTCAGTCGCATGCGCCGCGGACAAAACGGATGAAAGTAGTACAATCAGAACAAATACAGCTGGGAGATGATGTAGTTACCGCAGAGAAAGTGCAACAGTTCCTTATAGTAATCTCTTTTCATGATTTAAGGCACCTACAACCATCTGAATGGATAAATGGATTAGCTGTAACGGTAGGGTTGACTTACTGTCAGCTTAACCAACTTGGTGCAAAAAAGCTACCTGCCTCGAGTAACCTGGATCTAGCTTTGATGCAAGCCTTTGCTGCCAAATTGGTGTCGCCAGTCCCCTATTAGAGGGCATTCTCCTCATTGGTTCGAATGTATCGACAAATGGTTCTGGACACAAGGGTCAGGAGTCAAATCTTGCGACGAAGTATCTACCTGTCAGCTTGGGGTAGAAAACATGCGAAGGGTGGTCAAAGGCGACATTTCAGGTCTTACCAACATGTATTTTCCGGGGTACGGTTCCCACACACAAACCTCATCCCAGTTCCGGATGGATATGGTGGAGGTGGCCCAAGTTGTTAGAGCGCGAATTTACTGACCGGAAGGTGGTTCGAATCGCGACATTTCAGGTCTTACCAACATGTATTTTCCGGGGTACGGTTGCACCCCACAAACCTCATCCCAGTTCCGGATGGATATGGTGGAGGTGGCCCAAGTTGTTAGAGCGCGAATTTACTGACCGGAAGGTCTGTGGTTCGAATCCGACCTCTGCCTCTCGACTTCTCTCTAGGCTTGGGCAACCTGGCTGTATCCCAGCCCTCGTGCTTTCTTCGGGTGGCATGGCAGCTAGGCACCGAAAGGGTGCTACAGCTGGACGGTATGGGGATATAAATGGTCATTAGTTAGAGTTAAGCGCGCGTTATCCGGAATCACCTGAAAGCCCGCTTATATTTGTCAAATTGCTTGCCTATGGCAAGACGCCTAGTTTATTCGGCTAGATTAAGGGGCGCTTGGAAAAATTAGCTCTCAGTGTTAAGGTGAATGCTGAATCCTCTACACCCTGCTATTCGTGATTTACGTCAGTGACTCGCCTGTTGCGTTGAACAGCTCGTTTCTGTTGTTTGCTGAACCAGTGAAGATTATTAGCTCATCATGTCATATGCGGTAGCTCCTAGATGACATTCAGCAACGGTCCATGTAAGGATCTCCGACCTAATTAGCTACAGCATACAATTTTGTTTAATCGGGATCCTGGACTATTTATAGTTTGGCCTGACAAACGTGCTTTTGGATGCTCAGATTAACCGTAAACCGTGGTTTGAAGTGGTAAGGAGAAACGTCCGGATGCAACGCTCAAGGTTTATGTCCCTTGCTCCATTGTGATACATGGATCCCTGCTTAGTTCAACTTTTCACTCCATGTGGTCACATCTGGTCACATGAAGCAATTGATGCTGATCTTTTCGAGGAAATCAAAGAACGTCAGTTGGAAAGATGTCCTCATATAGCAAGCCTCAAGAACCCGAAATTACTCAGCTCAGAGCACCCGTTCTTTTGAGTTGATCTGTTTGAGGTGTATAAACCGCTAATTAGGTCAGGAACGATGCCAGGGGGCAATAAATTTGTTTTGCCAAGGGGAGGCTTACTTGGTTGATCACCAGAAACGATGAACTATTCGGTAGTATATAATTTACTTCCAAAGAAAGGTAGGATAGTCAGCAATTTTCACCAGCGCAGAACGCCTGGTACACTATTAGCTTAAAGTGTCTACTCGCTTTGCAGTAGCTGACTAGGATTTGCCGCCTGTGTATGAAATTTTCAGTTGCTTATTTGCCGTGCGGCCTCCACAACCGAGTTAACATGTACTTTTTTCCGAAAGTCTACTTTCAGACTTCGGGAGAATGAGTCCTACACTGTGTGCAGCAATTTGAATCCACACGCCTGGCAGGTAAGTAGTATTGATACCGGTTTACATTTTTCCATGTTGAGTAACGTGAATCAGATAACAGCCAAATAGGAAAAGTTTAGCATTCGGTTGTAATCCACTACTCATAAGGTTGCTAAAAATCCTTCGACCACCCACAACCGGTTTCGCCCTTCTTGGGGCTCATGAGATTTTACTCAGTCCCCGAGTTTCCATCAATATTATGTTCTACTTGAACCCTAATTGCACGAAATTGATTAAATACACTCAATTACTTTGCAAGAGACTCACCTAGAACCCAGATATATCGTTCACTTATTACTGCAACTAAGCAAGAAAAGTGGTGCGGAGAGGTCCGATATATTCCTCAAATAGAACTTGATTTTGAATGTTTATTATCCCACCATTCATTTCCTATTGGTGATGTTCGCAGCAAAGGGAAAACGCACCTCATGCAACCAACGCTCTCATCAAAGTGAAGCAAATCTACTGATGTTTGTTTTTGAGGTCATTTCTGCTGAAATCATTGCAGTATGCTTCAACTCCCATTGATTGGTTCAAACTTGAAGTGATCACTCCTCAGCGGGTACCCAGATTCGATTGTTCCTTTGGCGCGTCAAACAAATCCTGAAACCAAAGTTTAATTGGATCTGTCTTTTTGGTGTGAATCAAGGCGTTTGTGTTCTGCTGAATGTAATCAATCTTCGTTCATAAAGACAATTGATCAGTTAATAAAAACCATACTGCTTTCTCTATATTCCTTCAAGTAGTTTCAATACCAACATCATTCATATGTACTCGCATACTCTGTTATTTTGAGCCACTGGAAAAAAGTATGACTTCGCCGAGTTTGTCGAGCAGCGCCACTCTTATGACCACGAGGTCCAATTCCATTTCAGTTTATTGAAATGCCTTCGTTTGACCCGTCATGCGATAACGTTTTCTCCGTCAAACCAAACTTTTGTGAGTTCTGGCATTATCGATCCAAAAATCGTGCACTCTTAAACCGTACGCGGGTGACATATGGTGTACAAACCTAAAATCCCCGGTCATACTGGAAAAGACCAACCCCACAGCTGAACTACCGAAAATTTCCCCGTTGAACGACCATATAAATATTACTTCAAGAACATTCTTCTCTTTTTCCAAAGATTACGGGAGTTAACCGATTGGTTCCCTCACTGTTTTTGGAAGTTTCAACGGATCATGGAGAACTGAAGATGTTGAACAAGTGGGTTGAATCGTCAATTTTGTTCTAATGTTCCATTCTCCCACCTAGCTTTAGAAATTGCGGGTATTTTTGCGCTGAACTCAAAAAACTTGCCTTGATTTTTGAAGAACAGTTCATAGGCTTTATGATAAAACACCTCTAAACTGTACGCAACTAGAGGTTTTCTATCAAGTCGTTTTATAAGTAGTATAGCAGATTGCACGCTAAACTTGAAATTGTCCAAATTCTTAAGCTTAGCGAACAAATCAACGCCCAGTGATTTGATCCGTCAGAGTTAGGTGAATAGGTTTAGATCGATTAAATTTTGAACAAACGGACACACTCTAGTTCAACTACACCAACGTTTAGCTTTAAAAACTGCAGGTATTACGATGCGTACGGCTGAGTACCGTGTGCTTCAAACCATCTGGAAAAATTGTGATCACTATGGAGCCAGTGAGAGTGAGAAATGTATCACCATGCCGAGTCCCACGATTAGATTTTCTGGTGTTGCTTGACACCTAAGAGGCTGGGAATATCCTCATGACATCTGCTGCACGTGTGCCTGTCAATCTACAGTTCATTCGCATGAGCGTGTATACTTCCTATGAACTGCCGAAACGCTGAAACTTGCGGTGTTCACCATACCAATGTTTGCAACGATCTGCGTGACATATGGGTCTACCGTGAGACACCGATTTCGCGAGGTAATGTGGCCATTTTTTTGTAGAGTGAGCAGACCGAGCCCAAGTATAAATCCAACATTGGGCCGCGGATTATGGGGCTGATTTTGCAGAAGTGTTCTGGACGCAAAAACCGAAAATCAAGAGCATGCCATGTTTTGGAAAACGTCCAATAATTTTTGCTGATGTAGTCGGGACCATCGTGGGTTGGGTGGAGAATGAAGTTTGATGTGGAGTAGGGAGTTCGACCAGATCCATACTTCTGCTATATATGACCAGGGGGCGAGATGACTCAAGTGGTTAGAGCTCGAATTTACTGACCGGAAGGTCTGTGGTTCGAGCTCGACCTCTGCCTCTCGACTTCCCCTGCCTAGGCTTGGGTAACCTGGCAGTATCCCAGCCCTCGTGCTTCCTTCAGGTGGCATGGCAGCTAGGCACCGAAAGGGTGTTACAGCTGACTGGTTATATATGACCAGGCAGTTTGGTATAGTTCAAATGCGCAGTAGACTAGTGCAAATTAAGCTTTGTCCCAGGGTGACCCAAAACGCGTGTGTCGTCGGCCTTCCTTGGCACTACGGCGGAAGGTTAAAGTGACATCTAATTAGCTCTGGGTAGAGCAGGTTGAGGGGATGTCCGAAATAAGTCGTTCTAGGAAAGACAACAATGACATAAGCGAATTTGGTGAGACTAGGAGAGTAAGTGGCAAGATGAAAACGGGGTCACATGCCAGCAGTACCGTGCTCACAGACAATATCTATAGTTAGCACTGTCTGTTAGGGGGATTGCGGATATTGCATTCAGCGTACTTTTGCCAGAGATTTGAAAATGACAGTCGTTGGATGTTGGATAATTTTTATTGCGGAACAAATCGATAGAAGCAATTTCAAACTCAGGGATTACCTGTTCGGGGTGCTGAGTAGATGAGTACGCTATATGGGTGGTCGTTGAAAAATAACGCGTCAAGTGAAGCGAGGGATAAACCACGATAAACGATTTGGAATGAGAACACCCCATCCGGTCTCAGTCAACATAGAGAATGAGACTTGATTATGGGCTGAAGTCACAAGGTCCTTATACGAGAAGGGTTGGCACACAAAGAAGGGAGCCGGAGAGTTTCTTCGACAGCTCTTCTGGGATAATTCAGTAAGCACTGATACATATCGGAGTAGGTCTTGAGCTGAACCCTAATTAGAAAGTTATGTTGAGTAACCAAAAACAGAGACCTGTCAGCCCGCCACGATTTTTGCACGCTGAAGTCCAGAATGAGGGAATAGCGTTCAATTAGCTCAAGAACGCTACAGAGTGTGGGAACTGTGGCGCTGCCTAGGCTGAAGCTGTAAGCTCGGTGAACAGACCAACAACCAAACAGCGCAACTGAATTCCTCAGATTCCGTAACAGCCCGACGTTTACATACCAGGAAATCAGGTGATCTAAGGGACCAATTAACGGATCAAACTCTGGATGACGCTATGCTTGGACTGTCCTATGCAGATTGAAGCAAGTACACCGGTGATTTAGGAATCCACTGGCCGTTCTCCACGAGAAAGAAGTTTAGTCCAATGCAGAATTAGTGATGTAGCATAAATTTTTGTTCAATGAACGTCTGAAATTTGCTAACACCGCATCTGAATTCGATGCACTGTGCAGTTTTTCTGTTCAACTGTCAAAAGAATAACAGCTCAGTAAAAATGGATGATGAACCATGCATCATTATTCCTTGCAGACTACAAGAACGCTTTGACGAGTTCTTGACCATGTGTCACGGACGATCGCGCCGCCAGCTGCGCTACAGACTTTCAAGGCAGTTGCAAAAGGAAAAGAGAGTAAGCCTTCTCTCCAATAAATCACTAGATTTTATCCAACTGTGTTCGGTGGCGTACAAATTACCTTTAGTCAAATCGGTATTGCTCATTATCCCTGGGGTCTTTTTCAGTTGGTTTCTATGGTACGTACGCTGAGTTTGTAGCCAAAACAAACATAAAACGTTAAATATTCCTATGCTGGGTCTTACCAGACGTCCTCTGATTACAACCTCCCCACCAGCGTTGTTCAAAAGCGGTAATAAGCCTTTGTGTTTTGCCTCGGCCAGGTGGTTTAAAAATTAACGTAGGAAGGAGAAGACGTTCCAACAACCTGCGACCAGCGGCGAATGGGACCTTCATTCAAAAACGTTACTTGAGGCAACCATAGGGGCATAAGCCTTTCTCCAGTTTGGCCACACCTTTTGTCTAGAAACACCGAGGTGACATCACCCCACGACACAACTCTGAGAAGACCACGCGTGTGGGATTCGCACTGACCACATGTTCTTAGCACGACAAGGCCTCTCATATATGCCAGATGTGTTGGCTTTCCTTTGACCTCAAAGAAACCGACTCTGTAGTCAAGTATGCTGTTTTACATATAATCGACCCACAAGGAATGCCTTTAAAGCTTGCGAGCATTTCAGCTGTTTTGGAAGGTTTAGGCATTAAACGCTTGGACGAGTTCCGGCTAGAGGTTTTTATACCAATTCACTTTCTCCTGGAGACTACTTTCATGCTTCTATGACAGGTAAGTACCAGTTTTTATGATTATGACGAGAATCCCGGTTTAAACTAATAATGACCAGAAGAGCTAGTGGCGTAATGTGTGTACCGTGAAATCATCCAATTGGAGCTTGTGTGGAAAGATGGTAGAGCGATGATGACATTGGTTGATATCCATTCGTAATTTCAAGAGAACGAAGAAGGTAGCAAACAAAGCTTGTTTCCTGTGATTGCTTCTCTTGGCTAATACATCACAAATTTATATGGTGGCAGAGATCACGTGGAAAAATGTAAAGATCCAGGCTATATACACTTTAGAGAAATAGAAATCAAAGGAAGGGGAGTTGGATGAGGGATAGGTCAATGGGTCACGGAACCAGGTAAGTGACGTCAAGGTCAGAGAGACTTGTGGAGCCGGATGTTTCGTAGGCCAGTTCAAGTTCAGAGGTCGCACAAGTTTCTTTTGGATGCAAAGTTGCGGATCAAATCGCCTCTGCGATCGATAGTAGTCTGGATCGTACCAGTCGTGATAGTAATTTCTAAGGTTATTAGGTTGAACGCAAGCGTGCTGTTCTCTTTTTAGATAATCATGCTCTTTTGCACGTTTTCCGGCAAGAATTCCAAAAGCGACCAGATATACATTTTAGAAATTCAAAGATGGCATGTTAATAAATTGAGATAGCCCCAAGAGTGTTAAAACCCCATCAGAAACCCGCAGATTTTGATTCCTTTCAGCAAAATGTTTTGTGATTCAAGAACATCCTCTGGTTTTTTTGAACGACTTCTGGTGGGCCGTCCCAAGAATGGTATCGATACGTCCTTCAAAAACACCTAAATACCCCCTTAATTAAAACATGCGCCGTGATATGTATGCACCGATTCTATCGACGCGCATACAAGTGTCGAGGAGTCCGGCTTGTACCATCATTAGTCCGATGCCGGGCAGTAGGGGAGAATCGCAACTAACGAAATGCTGATACGGAGGTGTCAGCAAACTCAACTCAGCATTAAGCGTTAACATACGGCCACATCTTCAAAAACCCGCTTTGAAGATCATAACCTGTCACCTTCGAACGGGAGAATACGTTCACAACAGGAGCGAGTTGTTAGTACGCCCAGAACCTCGAGCAACGATCCTAGGAATGTATCCGATACATTGATCGATGGCCCTTCTTGCTAAGGCACCCGTTCCAAGTATAAATATTAGAATATTAACGTGTTGGACAATTTGCTCTGGTTAGGTGTGAAAAGCCGCGAAACTCGTGCAGTCAATCTCGTTTGTACAATCGCCGTTTTGTTTCCGTAAGGATTGCTCATGTTTGACGAGAATAAGAATATATTCTTTGGTTCAAGCCGCAACTCATGAAAAGCCTTTATGTGAAAAACTGTTGTCCAATTTGGGTTCAAGTAGAGCATAAGGTTGACGGAAACTCGGGGACTGCGCCTACCTGATGAGCCTAAAGTGGAAGGGCGAAACCGGTCGTGGGCTGTCGAAGAGTTTTCAGCAACCTTGTGAGTGGTTTCCTTTATGAAAAAAACTGTAGTTCTACGCTGTCTACACAAAAATTAGAACCGTCAGCAGTGTATGTAGAAGCAGATGAAAGTAACAGTTGGTGCTTATCTGGAAGGTCACTGAAATTCATCCATCACCTCTTAAATCGATCTGATGATGATCGGTGGATCATCGCCCTCGACAGAATCACGCCAGAATTACTGCGTACCAAAACTTAACTGCCTGTATGAGATGAACAATTTCAGAGGGCCACTGCATCGCCAGTTTTTGTGAACTTATCTGTCTGTCTGACGCAGCAAATTTGCCATCCGGTGAAATGTCTTCACTCTGCAGCCCTTTGATCTCGCTGACATATTTAGCTAACGGATCCACCATCACGCGTTCCATATAAGGTAACAGACGCCCGTAACAATGACAAGATAGTCCCAAGTCACCAACGTGGTCATATCGTCTACAACGTTTCTCATACACCTTTCGGTTCGTCAGAAAAGGGAAATCCGAATGCCACCGATCTCTAATCCAGCTGAGTGCACAAGCCGGAGTGCCGTGTTTTTTTCCACAAACCCCTGTATATTCAAGTTGCACCCCTCTGTTGGTAAAACGACAGCTTAGCTAAGAAACCCTCGGAGTTCTCACCATTTATCTCCTCTCTCTGCCCATGTGTAACTTGCTGAATTGTCAACAAACACTCGATAGTTTGTCTGTCCTCTCACGATGACTATACATGGGAAGGGACTTCAGTTCGTCTTTTTCGGATGCACGGTGTTTGACTTACGTTACGGTATGCAAAATACGTGTGTGCGAAATCGTTCACTCAGGTCTCAAGCGAACATTACAGGCGACACAGACGTCGGTAGGACCACACACACACACACACACACACACACACACACACAGACACAAACCGAGAAAAGTCTTTCTACTTTTCCCCTGTAGAACATAGGCTTATCAGTCATCCACTACTCCGATGATATAGTGGATGGGAAACCCTAGGATAGAGCGAACTGCACCCGTCTAGGTGCCTTGGACGGAAATCTGATCAGTTTAATTCACCAAACCAAAGCAAACTGCATTTATCTAGACAAAGTACGATAAGTTTTGCGCGATCAGACCGCTCTAGAGTGAATCACACCTAACTGACTTCTATGCTTTTGTTTTTTTTCTTCTAAAGCGTTTCACCACGAAAGAGCTCGTATCTACTGAACACACTTCGCACCTGTGTTGCACTTTTCAGTACTCGAATAATCATACAAATTGTTGTGACACGTTGCTGTTCGTCAGACCACTTACGAGGTACAATCTCTGCATGACTCCAGGCTGAATGTATCGGTATCGAACGGCTCGTAGCTTTCAGGCTGATTAATGCATAGCCCGCTGCATACTTGTCCATAACCAGAGTGGTGAGGTCACCTGTTCATTTAAGGTTAAGCTCGTTCGGTCTCTGCGGCTCTGAATAGTGCACTAATAAACACAGGCCGCTACATAGATAGGTTGACTACTTGTACACAGACTTTCAAATCCTGAAATCTCTAAGCATGAACCTAATCCCGAGTAAGCTTCAAGAATGAACCCATTCCGTCCGATCCGACCAATTCCAAACACGAGTTGTTCGCTTACGGTACATCGGTGTATGCTACTGACAAAGCATGCCTCTGACTTGGTGTTCAATCTACGCCGTCGCATCGTATGGAAGGTACAGTTTATTACGAGGAAGTATGGAAATGCTCCACATTGATCTTTCACAGCATTGTTCAAAAGAAAGCGTAAGAAGGTTTAGTTCTTTTAAGCTCTTTGCATATGGCCTAGTTCGTGTTTGCTAGTCAATAACTTTGCAGCGAAGGACTTTCCTCTTTTCAGCGGTAATCCACTGCATCGCCTCTATTTACTGCGATGATGAGCACTTGTAGTTTGGTAAAGTCCGTTTTCACTTAAAAGTATCTGTTTTGAACAACTTTTCAGAGTCTAAAATCGTCAGTCGGACTTGATTTCACCTAAACGTGCATTGATTAATAACAGTCCTTGTTGAACAGGTGAGAATAAGCGGATATACACTCATTTGCAAACTCATTTGGTTTTTCGAGAGACTCTCCTGGAACCCAGCTGAATCTCTCGTTTGTGATGTTTCCAGGCAACTGAACGTGCTGCACCAGGCCGCCTCATGTTTCGAGATATCGCGATACATGTAATTTTATAATGCACTGCTCAGATGGGGTTCCGGGTGAGTCTCTCGCAAAACCAAATTAGCTTGCAAATGAGTGTATTTCGCTAATTTCCTGCAGTTTGGTTTTAAGTAGAACATAAGGTTGACGGAAACTCGGGGACTGCACCTACCTGATGAGCCCCAATGGGGTGTGGATAACTTTCAAACTGAACTGACGCCACACAGACACGGTGTGGTCAGAGTACTACTTAGAGCATTTTAAAATGTAGGTTTGTTTCACAGAGTATATAAAATAACCTATTTCAATGACCCACCGAGAAATATAGTGCCAAACGCTCAAGTAACTTGTCTAACTATCGAGATCACAATTGACCAAGAAAAGCAATGGGCTTTCGAAGAAATTTCGTCCTTCTTGAATGTCGCAAAATTCATCAGGCCTCTGATCTCATTGTAATGCAATGGGGTTAATGGTAGTTAGTGTCTTGCTTTGCACAATTAGGTGGGTCTGTAGGAAAAGAACTCCTGACAACTCGACTGCCGATGATCATATTTTTTTAAAATAATAATTGGTTTGAATTCCCCGAGGAACTCAAACTTTCTGGGACATACCGGATAAGCATAGCCTTTTCCTGTCTTTCCAAAGGCAGTAGTATATACAGTAAATCGCTAATACTCATTTACTGTGTTGCGAAGAGACTGGGCCTCACTGTCCTGCGGCGTTTCGTGTACCCCATTGAATCTCTGAATGGCAATCATGAATGACCATGCAGATCCTCTTCAGTCAGGTTTGCTCAATACCTAGCGGTCCAATAAACAAATTCACTTGGTACTTCAAGTTGATGGTTGAAACAAACGCTTCGTATAGTTCTTTAAAAGTTGAGTTTTAAGTCAACCACCACTGCCCTGTGGTTAATCTTTTAAACCAATAGCTTTACTGGAAGGCGTTGACCATCCTCCTATCTAAGCTTGGGTGCCTTGGCAGTATGTCAGCCCACAATGAAACATGAATCGTCATGCCATCTCATTTGAAGTAAAACTAATCCTAAATCAAAACGTGTCTATCGTGAACAACTTCAGCAGCTGACAACAATTCCACAAGCTTATTTCAACATTTCTCACAATGCCAAATTTTCGTGCTACGTGTTCTTTTGTTCGGAATAACTGCCATTCGCCAGCTAGCGACGCACTGGAGAGATTCCTCTCTAACTTATTGTTGTATCTTGCGGGTGGCGGGCCGTCTATTGGTTACGCCTGCACTGAGCCTGCCAGACTACGCAATAAGAAGACAGGGAACACGGCTGCATTGCCAGGACAAAACATACAGAGCGTCTGCGTAATATATAGAATGACTAAATGGCCAAATATGGTTGTTCACTTGTTCGCTCCGTACAGCCAATGGCGGTATTCCGGTCGTGAACAATCTCAGGCCCACTATGCTGGTCGTATGCTGCTAAGCCGTGTTTGGTGAGAACCGCCAACTCACCTACTTTCCGGACGTTTCGAACCGATGGTGACATTGGGGATGCGTCACTCTCTGCACATGTACTTTTTCTTCTGTCTGGGCGCGCCCTGACACTTATTCAACATTGAGACATCACCTAACTGGCGGTGGCTGAAGCAGAGGTGTGCAACACCTGACCTGGTAGAGGAGGATAAAGTAGATTACTGGCGGTGTGACTCGTCTTCCAGGATGGGTACCGGGTCACCCCCACTGGGTCTGGTTGAAGACCCTGCGAGATATGGCTGCTGTTCGATTCAAGTGCTGTCGCTGGAAAACGTCCGGCATACATGATCGCTCGACGTGACCGACTGTAACGAATCTGGCACAACATGAAACATTCAGGAAGTCACGTAAATCTGTGAAACAGTATAGCAGGGACTAAACTCCGTTAACATACTAGTGCACTGCTGATGATGGCCATTATACAAATCAGAAGGTATATGCACTAATAAAGGTTTTTAGTATAGTTGAGATGCCACACGTATAAAAATGAACACAATGCAAAATGGGAGCAAGTCAAAAGAAGAACTTATCGTCTGTGAGAGTTCCTTGGTGCAAGTCTCAACGGCGGGAACGTGTTTTCTCCGCAGTATGGCGGCTACATGTGTTCTACAGTTGTCCGTCGACTTGGGGAGAGGTTGATTTCCTGCTCCCTGTGCGCGCGCGAAACTGTGTGCTGTGTTCGGTTTCCCTATATGTAGGTCCGTTTACATATACACGGGGGGGGGGGGGTTAGGAAAAGGGGTTT